GTATACAAATGTATATACTTATACATATACAAGAAATAATAAAATGTTTATGCGTTGCTCGCAGAAAATTCATATATATATTTTTTTTACTCTTGTTGCTTCTATTTTCTATAAATTCTACTATTTCTTGCCACACAAAAAAAAATTCAAAGCTTTTGAATATACTAATGTTTTCATTGAAAAACTGCACTTGGGTTGGAATTTTTACGAAATTTTATGCTCTGCAAGAATCCAGGATGTAAAAGGTTCATCTCAAATAGTTCAGAAGCTATGTTTTTTTAATGAAAATAGATTTTTTAGGAGTTATTTATATGAAAAACTTAATTCTTATAGACACTTCAAAGACATTTAAAATAAAGCCTGGTTTATAAACTCTGCCTTGCAGGGATATTTTTTTTCTGTGCGTAGATTTATTTCAACACATTAATTTGATATTCTTTTTTTGACTAACGCTAATATGTAGCCATGTGAAATCACAGAGCCAGTGCGTACGGAGTCCATATGCCAACTTTAATGGCGCAGTGACAAAATTTATCTAGCAAATTGTTGCTAGGCGCCTGTGTGGGTGCTTGTATGTATGTATGTATATGTTTCTTAAAATACATACCCTTACACAAAGAGACATTTACTTTGCGACACCATGAAATATTTAAGCGTGCGTGCATGTTTTTTTAATCCACTGTGCGTTGCTTTGCCAAGTAATTTAGCAGAAAACCAAAGCAAATATATACCAACGCGTGAATAACAAAATAAATACACATGGATAAAGCAGTAAAGGGAATAAAAAATGCATGGAGGAGTAATCTGTGCGAACAAAAATTTTCCATCACAACATAAACATGGATGAAAATACAAAATATATGTAGATAAGTAGGAGCCACTAGGCCGGCTTGTGTGAGGGTTATCTAGCATATTTGCTAATCATTAGATTAGTAATTTGTTTATGTCTCTAATAAAACAGCGCCGGTGGTAAGTATTGAAATATTGTATATTTTTATACTCTCGCAACATGTTGCTACAGATTGTTGTTTATTCACCTAACGGTTGTTTGTATCACCTAAAACTAATCAAGTTAGATATAGGGTTATATAATATATTAATATATATATATATGATCAGGATGACGGGACGAGTTGATGGCTGCCTGTCAGTCCGTCCTTCTTCCTGTGCAAGCTGTAACTTGAGTAAAAATTGAGCTAATTTAAATTTTTTTCCAGTAGAGGCGACAATAGAAGACATAAAAAAGCTCACAGTAATACTATTTTATTAGCAATACATAATGTACGCACACAAAGAAGTAAATATGTGTTTTTAAAAGTAAAGCTATGCAACAGCTAGACGAATATATTACACCATAAGGTCTTGTATGAATATTACCTATATACCATGTATGTCATGTACCATATGTCAGACTACTAAGTTCACTTCCCAAGCCTTGACATGGCTTTTGCTTTTAATTTTCACCTTTGTTGTCATGTGCGGTGTCAACTGGTCCCTGAGAGTGAAATATTATCGGTGTGTAGCACACGATAGTAACCGACACCGAGTGTGTTTAGTTATGACCAACAGACATCAGAATGCAGTTTCGTTTTCTGTATGTGGCAACTTTTAGCGGTAAAATTATAGAAATTGCTTTAATGTAGGCCAACAGGGCGCAGGCAACTCTAGTCTAAATAGGGTTGCCCTATTAGCAGGTCATTTGTGAAACTCTGTTAAAAATTTCTAAAACATTTGAGGTAAAATATTTTATAAGAATTAAATGACGAAAATGTGTTTGTATGTAAGAGAATAAAGTTACGCAACCGAAAAAACTGGGTGCAAATGGCCACCAGTTTGTCACTAATTGACGTTTAATTGACAGGGGTTCCACTGGAGCGTAAAATTAATATTTGCAACGGTATGTACTATACACATAAAGTGTTTTTTTTAGAGGTATAGAATTTTAAATTGCAATAAAACAACGATGGATTATTCGATTGACATGAATTTTATTTATCCGCAAGATAATCTTGTGGCATTACATTTTAAATATGATTTTTGGCATATGACCGCCACGGCTGGCTCGGATGTAGCCCAATCTCGACGTTTTCAATATTTGTGGTCGTATATCGGCAATAACACATTTTTAAAGAAATACGGACCAATGATTCCACCAGCCCATAAAGCGCACAAAATAGTCGGGTTTTTGGATGTAACGGTGTTGAGGATTAGCTTCACTCCAAAAGCGGCAGTTTTGTTTGTTGACGTAGCCACTCAACCAGAAGTGCTCTTCGCTAAACAAAAAAAAATGAACGTAGTGCACGATACGTATTCCGCACAGAACCATTATTTTCAAAATAAAATTGCACTATTTGCAAGCGTTGTTCAGGCGTAAGTCTATTCATGATGATTGCCAAACCAAACAGAATAAATCACTTGACAGCTGCTGAATCGGTCGCCATCTTGAACAGTAATGCCAACTTAAAGTTCTATATCTCGAAAAAAACACCCGTTATAAGTGATTCTGTATATAATTGCCTTTCAACATTGCTTGTTATTTGATTAATTTGACCTGCCATTTCTGGTATACCTATGACAAATGCTAGTCCCTGCAAGTTTTGAACCACCCATGAAAGGTTTTTAAAGTGAAATTCTGAAAAAATACTGTCATCGATAAATATTGAATTTTTGCATATACCTATGTACGAATAAGTATATATGTATACATATATGCATATTTTGTATTCAGCTTAATTTATCTGCAATGAAAACATAAATATTGACAAACCTATGAATGCACATCCTATTAATATATGTACATATATAAGTATGTGGAGGTGCCAATTATTTTTAAATCGTTTTTCTCTCCGAGGCGTGTAATTTCACTTGCAGGCATAAAAACAAAAATATTATAAACCTTCATCCTTTAATATAATATATATGTCTGTTAGAATGGATGTGTGTTAATACATCAATCTCTGAGCCATATACCCTGCAAACAACTGCTAGGCACCACTTTTATGTACTATTTTATAGGGTTTTAACTTTTTTCTTTTCTGAAAAGAATATAATTTATATTTTCTTTAATAAAATTTCAGATTTACACAACGAAATAGAACGTATTTAAATTTGCAAATGACCCAATATTATTGGAGTGAATATATAGTTAAATGTCTAGACTCGCTCACTGTAATTGTTCGATGTACTATTAAATCTCTACATGCAATGGTCTTCAAATAAAATCATACTCATTCCCTGATTTTAAAGGGAGTAACGGATTCTCAGTAACGAGCCCATCTTAAATGCATAGGACATTGCCTGGGAATACTTTTAGTCAGCACTACCCGTAACAAAGTCGATAGCGAATCAATATTTCCCATAAAAATTTCCTATTGGGTACTCAAGCGCATACGTGTACATAAATTTATAAACACACACCATACAATTGTAACAACAGTTGAGGTAAAAATATACGCAGTAAAGCTGAAAATACCAATCAAGCCAAAATAATTCCGGTAAATTCGAGAAATGTGATAAAAGGTTGAAGCGAAATGAAATGAAAAACCGTAAAATATATGTGTTCTCGTATTTTGATTTTTTTATGCGAATTCGATAACATTGAAATTGTTTTGCGTTACGCAGAAACGTATGCACAGTGGAAAGGGAGGGAGTTGAAGAAGGAAGATTCGCATAAGCTTTGAAATAAAACTCGGGTTGGGCTTAAAGGATGCGAAATTAAATTGGCATATTATAAGCTTTGAAGGGCGTAAGCTTTATAAAAGAATTTAAGTCTTAACTCGCCGAATAGGTAACACAAGCATTTAATAATTTCATATATGAGAAATATTTTCGAAGCTGTGTGGAGGAGGCGATAAAAACTAATGGTAAAACCACTTGGATCTCATATCTTCATTAATCTAAGCGAACTAGCTGGAATCGAAATTAGCTATAGCGCTTTCTCGATATACGTATGAATGTTTTGTTCCAATTAAGGGTATTTTATGTATCACAAAGTACTTGTCTACCACTTTCCAAGTATATACTCTGCAATATCCGTCGAATGAATTAGCTTCCATTGCAATAATCTCACATCGTATTTCGTCTGTGAGTTTCCCTACAAGCAGGGAGGCAGTAGATTTGGCACTGCAGGAAAGTACCTGGATTTATACTGGATTCCACGCCACAAACGAATTCCGGGAAACGAATAAATTGCCAAAATTGCCAAAAATGCCATCCATCTGGCTACCGAAGCAGTATAGAAAATAGATAAGTCGTTAAAAATGGTACGCAATGAAATTTCCGAAAGAGCTACCAAACAGATCAGGTTGAGATAAAATGCCTTAACTACATGCAGTTCAAGAGATTAACGGAAAAAGCGTTGACGTCCTGTATGAGGAATACTTAAGCTCTAATTAAACTGACCCTCCAACTGGCATTACAAAGGACCAGTAGGTGTATATATGACTGCCAGTATAACCCAACCTATCCAACTATAGCCAAGGCAAAATTTGTACACTATATAATCCACTGGTTTCGCGAACTCACACTGAAACTTAAAATACAAGGAAAAGGGTGTTAACGTTCATATATCGGATCAGATGCAATATACAGGTTCATACAGATGAATAATTAAATCGGAGCACTCAGCAGCTCGTTACTGCCTGCCGAAGAGCGAAAACCATAAGAACTTTTTAAAACTGGTCTGAGCTCAGACTCTACTGCATTTAATTTAAAGGTGATACCATGTTTCTGGTTTCCTTTAAGCTTTTTGTCCGGTATTCATTACTCGAAACATTTCTATCGGTTTATGAGAAATATGAACATCAGTGGTTTATGCGTATTTGAAGCTCAGCATTGTCTCATATTTCTCGTTTTGAAGTCACTACTTATGAACCATATTCTTTCTATTAACAATTATTAATAGCTTCTAGGCTAGTTTGTTCGCTATATAGAACCAGAGTTAACAACCTGTTAAATAATTCCTGCTCATAAGGTGAGCAGATCTAGTAAAAAGCCCCTACTTTGGTTTGTTCTTTTATTACATCCAGAATTGCAGTGTATCAAAATATTTACATAAAAATTTTTATATCCAAAATATTACTCCCTCAGTATCACTTTATCTCATATTGTGGCGTTCTCTTATCGTATTTATCATCACTACAGCATTACGCTATTGTGGCACTCTTTCTATTATTTCCAATAATTACGGTGTTCTCATTGTTCACCCTCTTCCTCCTCTTCTACCGCCATGTCGATATCTATGGCAGCAGGTTGATCAGCCGGACCCGTAACGTCCGCACCCTCTGCGCCTTCTTCGCCTTCATCCTCTTCCTCCATCTCTTCTTTCGGAATCTCTTTCGAATCGCAACCCTTTATCTCTGGCTCTGGTTCGTCCGGTTCGCAACCACTCTTAGCTATCGGACGTTCTTCAATAGTCTCCTTGTAGTACAAGTCCATATCGGGTCGGAACCAAATACTCTTCACCCAATCCAGATCGAAGTCATACTTCGGACAGACGCAATAACGTAATGCACGATGGCATTTCGGACACTTCGCACCGGCACGTCCGGCATGTATAAGCTTCTTCTTCTTCTTTTGGCAGCAATACGGACAGCGATGCGGCTCCTTCTTCTTGGGTGTCTCGCGTGGTGGCTGCTTGCCATAGATGAGATGACCACGTTTCTTAGCACAGAAACAGCAGTTACAATCCTCACCTTCCGGTTGGTTGCGGCGCGTCAGCATGCGATCATAGAACTTCTTGTAGGCCACCTTAATTTTCGCCTCAAAACCGCGCTGCTCCTCACACGACAAGCCATCGTAGCGTGCATAGCTTTCGGCAGTTTTTCGCGCGGCATGAACATAAACACATTCCTCGGAGAACGTCGGTCGTCCATCATTCTGACGCAATTCATCATTCGGTTGGTAGTAGAAGGCTTTGAAGCCGCGCTTGATAATCGTATAAGCGAGATGTGCTTCGACACGATTCATCAAGCACCGCTTGCCCAGCTCATGGAACAGATCCTCTTTACGCAGGCGCTTCTTCGGCGTTGTATCAATGCAATAGCACACCTGATCATAGTGCAGAAAGGCATAAGTGACCACATCAACGGTGGATTTCGCCTTGCATTCGTGTATGCCACAGATAATCATTATTTGCGCCAGCGTATTGGACAAGTCTAAGACATTCTCGAGAAAGATGGAGGAGGCATTCACTTCGCCCAAGCACTTGCACTGCTCCTCTTGATTAATGATGCCGAGGTGGGCGTGGCGCTGGCACTCTCTGTGCGTGCAGGTGCTGCGGCAGCGAAAATCGGGCATGGCATGATGGGCCTGCATGTTGTGGCAATTTAATGATTTTATAGATTGTGTAAGCAGAACTGATCACTTTTAATTTTTGGACTTTTTGTTGCACTTTAAATTTTTAATTTTATATTTTTTTATTATTTTACTTTTGCTTTACATTACGCGACCAGCTGTTCTGGCAATTGTCTTATACTCTATTCGCAAACTATTTTCCAGCATAAAAACGTAATACTAAAATTTAGAAGACTTTTGCATTATTTAGAAGAATAAAGAAAAATTAAGCTATTTTTATGCTTCAATTATAGAATGAAATGTGAGAATTTTACACATTCTGACACATTTTTTTTCCTTTTTAAAAAATACCCAATATTTTTAAGTTGCCAAAGAGTTAAAAATTTCAAGTAATACAAAAATATTACATAAAATCAATTTAAGGAATTTGAAAAAAAATAACTTTCGTAAAACTTAAAATTTTTTTTTTTAATTTTCTTTAATGAACCGAGTAACTTTTATCACAAAGTGTTATTTAAACCACCAGTTGTATAAGAGATGTACTTCGATAAATACGGTTACAAATAGGTAATTCCATTCAGTTAATTCGATAATTAAGGATAATTGTGAATAAAACAAACGTGTTCTAAAGTTTCCTTATTTTCTTTAACGCAACAATGAAAAATTGATTTTCTTGGAGTTTTTGAAACCCATTAAATACTCGCATATACGGAAGGAAATCATCACAATAGCAATCGGAAGTATTATTTCCCAACTATTTCATTTGGTTGAAGGTTGAAAGATGAAAGACAGAAAAGTTTTTGGAGGAAACAAAACAAAAGAGAGCAATACCCATATGTAATTTAACTTTGTCATATAATGACTGGTAGACCGATATTTTCGGTAAAAGTTCGCAACACAAACTGGCGTCCACATACACGATATCAGGTGGCTTGAACAGTTGTAGTCCGATTTTGACAATTTTTGGTCACAAGGTAATTTGAAATTCGTTTATATGGGAAGAAGTGTAATGCTATGTACCGAATTTGGTTTAAATCGGTCGAAACGGGCCCAAGATATAGGTTTTCACCTAAATGTGAGCGGTGCCCATCATCCAAATTTGACACCGGATCCTATAAAGCCCTCTCGTACCATCGCGGGTGAAAAATTCTATGTCTCTGGCGCATTAAATTACAGATTTTTCGTACTTTTAGTAGTATTTAACAATTACTACTACTACTAAAAGTATAAAGTTATATGGGCAGTGGGCGGAGTTCGGATTTTGTAGGGCAGTATACTTCCTACAAAATTGTGACTTTTTGCAATTTAAAATGTTTATTTATCACTGAGTTATAAATTTAATAAGAAAAAACAAATGTCTTTCAAATAAACGAACTTCAACCGTTAGTCTCTTTAAAACGGTTAGATTTATAAAAAAAAACCAAAAGAGACCATATAGAGAATTCAATTTCTCAAGTAGTTGAAAGCGGCATATGAGAGATTTTCGCAGATGTGTCTAAGAACTTATTTTTCAGAAAACCAAGCGAAAAAAACATATTCGTTTTTTTTTACCTACCCTAAGCAACATGTTGCAAGGATATAAATATATTAAATAAAAGCTCTTATTCGTCTTTTTGTGCACTTCACTTTAACAATTAATCCTAATTACACATTAAGAATATAATTAAACTTTATTAGTGCTCAGAGCGCCACACGATAAATACAAGCGCTAGTAACACTATAAGTGATATGTAGACAACGAATTTAAAAGCATTTGACATTATTTTTAGTGTTTACCCACCCTCGTATATCAATAAGTATACGATCCATTTAAAAATCACAGCGCAAGATAAACTTCAAAATTCACTGTCAAGTTCACATGCAAACATTTTTATAATTCAAAGCTAAGCTGGAAGTGTCCACTTATCTAAGTGTATGTAAGCTGTAGCTATAACGGGCCACACTTCCGTGACACAGACACCTGCTCTTTAGCCTATACTTGACATGGAGCTCAAACGTTAAGTGCAACAGAAAAACAACAACAAAAGCGAGACACTCGTGACAACAGAGCACATGTGGCTTGTTAACGACACATATGCCTAACACTAGTGCTTCACTTGCATATAACGGTAGTTGTTAGACTTCAGGTGCTAATATAGACGCGGTATAATGACCTCAGTTAAGAGTTTGTTAGTTTGTCATGTGTTGTTGTTTGTTAGGTGTGCCTCTTATTATGCTAACTTTTTGTCGTTAGCAGTAAGAGTGAGGCACAACATGAACGGAATAATTTTAGATAGTAAAACCTTGTATCTAAAATTATCTCGTATTGATCTTTTTCACTGATATCTCGAAGCAAAATAGAAACATTTGGGGCCTTTACGTTTACTGAGGAAAGCTCTTATAGTTTAATGCTGGTACTGAAAAGCTAAGAATGTGATGGATTATAAGAGCACATTTTCTAAACCAGACCGAAACACGAGGATGCGATTTCTTCAAGCAAAAATCAGAGCGCTGGAGTAGGTTCTGTTAGAAAACACAGTAATTTTGAGGACATGGAACGGAGGTTAAGTGAATCGAACTCAAGGTGTGGTAATATATATATAAATAATAAAATAATATAAAGTGGATATATTTCCCTTTAATAGCAAACTACTAAGTTCAACGGCATAATTGTTAGTTGCGCCTGGAGGACTTCATTGTCAGCTTTAAACGTTTCCAAAAAGTAGAGAGTAAATTTCACCACTAAAACCCCAAATATCATTTTTAAATACCTCGATTTCGAGCAAATTTTCACACTTAGTAATATTGTCTTAACAATAAAATGTGCTGACCCAGCACAACGTGTACACTCACCCTTGTTTATATATACCAAGCACAACGTGCCACAACCACAAACTATTTGCAAGCCTCTAGGTCATGCGTTTCATTAAAGGTCTTTTCCACAGACGTCAGCAATTCACCCGTTACATACTTCAGCTAAATACAAACGCACACACTCATGAGGCCTATTATGAATTCTAATTGTTAGAAGTCATTTCAGTGACGCTTTCCAAGCACTCAGTGCTGCACTTCAGCACCGTGGCAGGCATGATTGCCGATTAGTCGAAGCGGCACAGCGTCACTCATACTGCACGGCGGTCTGTGCTGGTGAGACCAGAAAGCAAACAACTGCCTAGACTGGTTGGTAGAAAATAACAGCTACCAAGTTATGCTTAAGCAAACAGACAAACAGCAAACAAATAAACTTGCGACTTATAACTGTTTAAAAGAGCTTTTACTGTTTATATTTACTGTACATGTGTTGTTGTTGTAGGCTAACATTGTCTGATTGTTTTCCACTGCTTCCAAAATGTTTTCTTCATATATGCCTTGGCTAATTGCTTGATTGACTTTTTATTTGTGTTTCTGCCATTTTCTTTTATATATTTTTGTGGCTTCCGTTCAACTTTTGTGTAACAACTAACTTTTTCAACTTTTGCAGTAAGTTGTACTGTGTTTTGTGTTGTTTCTTTTACGAAATATTTCCTCTGTTTGTTTTGCTTTATACGTTTGAATAACAGTTGATCCGCATCAGAATGTGGAAGAAAATTCTTGGTTGAGAATCAAAACAAACGCAATGCTTAAAAAATTTAAGGAAGACCAGCCAGTGAAGTTACATTTTGAGCTCATTGGTTGCCTAATTAATCACTGTTCAGTGTACAAATAAAATTCGCTGTGAAGGCAAATTTCCTAGAAGCTGGTTCAAGATCAATGCATTTGTAATCGATTTCCATCAAAAATTATATACAAGTAGTTTTCTTTAAGAAAAGTCAGAAGATACAATAGTAGCACTTTTGCAAAACAAGGAAATATATAGGAAAACTTTTAGAGTTGGATCGAGTATAATAAAGCAAAAACAGAAAACACTCTATATTATCCAGAAGACAAACACACACTGACTATTATGTGAGAATAAATATGTTCCTTGGGCCTACACTCATTTTCCCAACATTAATTTTTCCGATAAGTCAACCCATTAAATAAACTTTCATGAATTTTTCACCAATAATAAATTTCGGACCTCAAGAAAATGTATCTCTGTTACCAATATGGGGATCGCACAAATAAATAAGTCAAAATAATAATAACATCTCTGTAAGTAATTTAGATTTTAAATTCTAAAACTGAATTCTTTATTTTTGGTACCAAATTATCTTATACTTTAGGCAGATTGGAAGAATTATACGGTAAAACATTAACCAAAGGCTATAATATCAACTGGGACAAGTAAAAACTTGTACGACTATTTTTAATATTTGTTAAGGTACCTTTATGAAGATATCAGAAAAACGTAAATTTTTGTCGTTGGTCTCTTTGCCGTGGCGAAGGGGCTTAAGTAATAGTAATGGGCGTATTCCAAATGGGAACGCATATTTCTCTAACTGAGCTGGATATTTCACAATTCTCACAATATGGGGATGTTGACAAATGAACCTTCGGTTTTACGAATATTTCCGATTGTGAGAAGTGCGAGCATACAAGCACCAACACCACCCTAAGCCAAGGTGTCGAGGTACCTGTGCTACGGTGTAGTGAACTGAGGAAAAGCCAGTACCAGAGCGCAGTCTTTGTACTTTTATCGGATAGGATCATGCGCCAAAATAGAAAGAGGAAGAAAACGAAAGTTTTCTGAAAAGGAAGCAATCAGAACCTCCCGCGTAACTAAGCCAAACTGCCAAAATTAAGCTCCCAGAAAGTGATTGAAAACTCGGCATAAAAAACTTAAGCAGGAGGAACCGAGCTTAACAGCACAACAAAGCAAAACACGTAAACTCCTTCTCACCTCACACTATTCAGGAGATTGACGTCAGATTTTTGAGACTACTTAGTGTTAAGCTTCATTCTCGACAACCCCAACTTCTGACTTCTTTTTATAATTTTTATTTAAGGCATGCATAACAGAATTGCAAAGTTTTTTTGTCTTTTTTTACTCAAATTTTCAAGAGATCACACCTAGGTGGCGCTCAGATCGTTCTACATTTTTAAATTTTCAATATGTATATTCAAAATGATCTGGGAACCCTTATGTAAGCAAAATTTTTTATACTTGAATATATAGTATATATATATTGAGATTTGATATATCCAAAATATACCAAGATTAACAGAATGCACAGAAATAATGAACTCGACTGCAAGATTGCTAGAAAATTGGTATAATTCTATGGAAAAATCAAGTTACACGTATTATAGATTGTTGTGTGGAAGCAACAAGAACAACAACAACTTTCGAATAAACAATAGTTACCAAAAATGTACTTTTAGACATAATATCTGGAACGCATGTTATTTTCAATAAAATTACCCTATTCAATATTAAAAAATTAATTTAGCGAAATTATTATTTTGTTTTGTAAATTATCGTTTTAAGATAACAGGATGTTCTAACATTTC